ATAAATGCTACTAAGCGCGTATGCTAACTACCAAGTTTGATATGAAAGACTTGGGAGTTAGCTGATTTAATCTGGAATTAAGATCCATAGACTTCTCAAGGTCTAGCATTGTCACAATCTCATTATATTAAGACAGTACTTGAAAAATTCATGCACTTGGGCTTTAAAGTTGCAAAGACTCCAATTGATGTGAATCTTGCATTAGCAAAGAACAAAGGCCAGAGCATATCACAATTGGATTATGCTCGTGTGTTGGGTTGCTTAATGTACATCATGAATTGTACACGACCAGATATAGCTTGTGCTATAAGTAAATTGAGTCGATATACGAGCAATCCAGGCCAATCTCATTGGATGGCTATGAAACGAGTTTTGGGGTATTTAGTACATACCCAGGACTTTGCTTTGCACTACAATAAATATCCTGCGGTCATTGAGGGATATTGTGATGCAAATTGGATCACCTGATCAACTGATTCCAAGTCCACAAGTGGATATGTATTCACTATTGGTGGAGGAGCGGTATCTTGGAAGTCATCCAAACAAACTTGTATTGCCCGCTCTACAATGGAGGCTGAGTTCATAGCCTTGGATAAAGCCGGTGAAGAAGCTGAATGGCTCCGAAATTTCTTGGAAGATATTCCATTTTGGCCCAAACCGTTGGCACCAATATGCATACATTGTGATAGTCAAGCGGCAATTGTAAGTCTCGCCATATACGACGAAGACATAAAACTGTTAGACAATTACTCTCTAGAGGAATTATCACGATTGACTATGTAAAGTCAAGTGATAATGTGTCGGATCCACTTACAAAAGGCCTAACTAGAGAGGTAGTTGAGAAGTCATCAAGGGGAATGGGACTGTGGCCGAGAACAAGTCATAGTGGCGGTAACTCTACCTAGAAGACTAGAGATCCCAAGATCTAGGTTCAAGGAGATCAAACAAAGTCATTTATGACGGTTCAACATTGTCAACTAAACTTTTGGTCCATTCTCGTGATGAGACAATGTTCAGTACCAAGGATAAAGCATTAAGGCTTTTTAATGATTTCTAAATTTGATACGGGGTATATCAAATAGTGTATCTACGGGATGACACGTTTAGGAATCACCTATGTAAGTGTAAAGTGTTAGCCGCTTCAAGGAGAACATTGTAAGGCCAGTTCTCTACGCACTTATGAAACCAGGCGGTGTTCATGGCTGAAACGAACACAACAATGAGAACCAAAGACGATTAAGGGTTGGTTGTGTGACTTGTGGTTGTCTAGGTATACACTAAAGTTCGACGGTTCAAAGATATCAAATCTACCGATTGATCGAGTATATCCGACATAAGTTCACTACGGAAAGTTCAAAGGGAAACCTACTTATCCAGATGCAATTAATCCTTACTTGCGAATCACACAGTTTTTCATGCATACTTCCGTGATATAGCCATTCCCCATTCATGTGGGGGATTGTTGGGTTTTGGATGTATTTAATTAATATATTAAATACTTAAAAGAGGGTGAATGGGAAATGGAGGAAAATAAAATTTTTGAGTGAAATTTTAAGTTCCCCCCCTTGGCAAATGGGCATTGTCCCATATTGGAAGAGGAAGAGGTTTTTTATGGGTATATAAGCAATTGCTCTTCTTCTAGCTCTTAAAGAGTTGAGAAGAAGGCAAGCCTCGCGCCGTCGTCGTCGTCGCTCGCTCGACTCGACTTCGGCTTCGGCTTCGGCTTCGGCTACGGCTACGGCTTCGGATTCGGATTCGGATTCAGATTTGGATTTGGATTTGGATTTGGTCAAATGATCGATTGATTGATTAACTTTTTGGACCAAATTTATTTGTTAATAGTAAAATATTAACAGAAATGTTATTAAATATTTGTTTTAATAACAGAATATTAATATTAAATGTTAATATGAAATCCAATCCGTTTTTCTGTTTTGGTAATAGAAAAGTAACTACCCTCTTCAATTTTCCCTCTTTATTTTCCCTCTTTATTGTTGAGTAAATGGCCATTTATGTAATGGCATTTATGCTGTGGGCGTTTTGCATAAACAACCATTCTGAAGAGTTGCACCTCTTCAGATTTCAGCCCAACTTTGGCTATAAATACAACACTATTCTGCTCAGAATTTCACTATGATTTTCTGAGTTTTCTCTCCTTCTTCTGCATACTTTTAGCATCAAACAAAGTAAAAAATAAGTGTGATTTGCTACCGAACTTTGTGTTTGCTGAAACACTGGGGTTTGAAGTACCACTACACCAGTGTGTAATTCGTTCTATCCTGGAGGAAATAATCCATAACCTTGGGTACTAGGAGGGGATTAAATTCCTTAAGGAAACACTGTGAATTTAGTGGGCTCGAATTGGTTTTATGTCATTTCTGTTTATGTTCATTTCTGTTTATGTTGATTTATATTTCCAGAATTATTTTACAAATACAGTCTAATAACAGAATGCTTAATCTCCCTAACTAGAGGAAACCCCAATTTGAGGCTTTACAAATGTAAAAGTTAGACCCATTGGTTATTCTTTTTCTAAATGGATAATATGGTTCTTATCCATATTTGACCCGTTTTTAAAAAGTTCGTTATCCAACCCATTTTTTAGTGGATAATATAGGTGGTTAACTGATTTCTTTTAACCATTTTGCCATCCCTAATGGCTATTAATGAACGCCATGCAAAATCGGCAAATTTTGGCGCCATGTCAATGATTTATCTATTTTTTTTTTTTTCATATATGGAGACATTTTGCAAAAGATTTTGCGTACGTCACTGCTCATGACATGCTACGTAGAGAACCTTCAAGGAGATGGACCAAGCAAGGCATAACTAACGGCATAGGAGCCATTAAAAGGTACAGTGTTAGATCATAAAAATAAAAATAATTTAAAAAGAAGTTCTCAAAAATTTTAAACTCTCTTTTTCCCTAAAACTTGAGCTTTCTTTTCTACTAATGTCGAAAAACGAAATAAATATTCGTCTTCCTCCTTGCCATGTTCTTTGTTTATGAGATGGTAAAAGTTGGAAGAAGGTCAATTTTCGAATAGCCACAACAGTAAAATAGTTATTTACAACAGAAAACAAATCTTGACATTTGAGTCTAAAGTCAAGTCGTGATTGGAACGAGACAATAGAAAAGTATGATAGTACATGAGTAACGTGTTGGAAATTAAGGGAAGGAAATTAGAGAAACAACTGAAGAATATCCAAATATTCTTTACGTCCAAATTTGAAGTTATTTAAGGTCATCGAGATGACTGCCCATATTCAAGTTTTCCACAAATATTGAGAAAAGAAAGAAGAAGACACCCACACTGTGTTTGGTTTTATTATAGTTTTTTCTTTTAGAGAATTGATTGATTGTACAAATTATTATAAGAAATATAATAGTATAAGATTTAGAAATAAGATTATTAGAAAAAAAAACATCAAAAAGTATTTATTTTTAATTCTTTTTCCAATGGACATTCCCATTCTGAAACAAAAGAGATTTAGATATCGAAGCAAAAATTAATCAGATCGTTAAATGTAGAAAATATTAATTAACACATTAACCATAAGGTCCATAACTAGTCTATTTTATTTAACAAAAAGCACATCTAATAGATCAAAAAGTGTTTAACTTCATGCATTGACAATTTTAAAATTATTTTGCAACATCAGGTAAAATATTTTTTTCTTGGTTTTCCACCCGGTGTCCGGTACCCACATTGGAGCCCAACTAAATCCGGCTTCGCCCCGGGAAGTTTCACATTGGGAGTAAAGCGCTCTTAAAAAAGACGACTCTATACCCATGGACTTGAACCCGAGACCTTTGGTTAAGGGAGAACGAGCCTCTGGTGTTAGGTAAAATATTTTACAACAATTGATATTACCATGTCAAAATTCTAGTAAGTCATTCGCCGTGTAAATCTTCAAGATTTCTCCTATAAATACCCTTGGTAGTAAATCTAGTTTTTCCATTCAAAATACAACATTTCTCCTATAGTCATGGGATTTGTTCTCTTTTCACAAATGCCTTCATTTCTTCTTGTCTCTACACTTCTCTTATTCCTAATAATATCCCATTCTTCTCATGCCCAAAATTCTCAACAAGACTATTTGGATGCCCATAACACAGCTCGTGCAGATGTAGGCGTAGAACCTTTGACCTGGGACGACCAGGTAGCAGCCTATGCGCAAAATTATGCTTCCCAATTGGCTGCAAATTGTAACCTCGTACATTCTCATGGTCAATACGGCGAAAACCTAGCTGTGGGAAGTGGCGATTTCATGACGGCCGCTAAGGCCATCGAGATGTGGATCGATGAGAAACAGTACTATGACCATGACTCAAATACTTGTGTACAAGGACGGGTGTGTGGACACTATACTCAGGTGGCTTGGCGTAACTCGGTTCGTGTTGGATGTGCTAGGGTTCGGTGTAACAATGGAGGATATGTTGTCTCTTGCAACTATGATCCTCCAGGTAATTTTATAGGCCAAAGTCCATACGAACTTAAAAGGCGTCCATTTCACGTTATATAGGTACGGACTTCTGCTTGATATATATCAAGAACTTAAATAATTGCGCTAAAAAGCAACTTATAGTCAAGTATATAGTAATTGTACCGCCCGTTTGGATAAGTGGATTGTAAATAGCCGATAAACTTGAAGTGCTGAAACTGATTTTTTAAATAAGCACGCCGAGCAGTTGATATGTTTGGTAGAAAAGTAGTGATAAACTGTTCTTTTGTTGAAGACTAAATTATCCTTTAAAACTTTACAAAAAATATAAACTAATAGTTTCTTTGTAAAGAAAATGATGAACAACGAATATTGAATAAATGGAAAACTAGAAAACTTATTGAAAAATATATTTTGTGAATAAAAAATATTATTAAGGATAAACTAGCAAAAATCTTGGTCAAAGTAAAAGTATTTATAAGCTGAAATGCCATAAGTTAGGGTTGACTGACTTATGACTTATGATTGGTTTTAGCTTATAAGCACTTTGAGTGTTTACCAAACACATAAATAAGCCAAAACATGCTTATAAGCTAATTTGATCAGATTATAAACTTAGCCAAACACCCTCTAAATGCAATGTAAAGCTTTACCGGTGATTAAAACCACTTAAATTGAAGCATAACAATAAGGGCCACTGTAATGGTCAATTAACCTACATCATTCTAATATAAAAGAAAAAAAGATTATTGAGAAAATAAATTGCGGATGCTATTATGTTGTCCAAAAAACTTTTCCTCAAAGATGGAGATATGATATGAGAGATCTATATTTTTATTTTCGGAAAAATAAAATAAATCATGGTAAATATTTTATTTTTCTTCAAGTAATAGGTACAATTCAAATATGGTAAGGAAGTTAGGCAAACCATAATAATTCTCTTTTTTGCCTGAATTTTCATGATAATGCTTGACCCGTCTTTTTCACATAATTTATCACTGCTGCTTGACATGGTTAAAAATAGTTACGGAATAAAAATTGTAGCCTCGTGCATTACAAATAAGCAATTATTAAAAATATTGGAGCCACATATCAAAAATAAGTACGCTTAAAAGTGGAGCCCTGCATTAAAAGTGAGCATGGTTAAAAGTGAACAGGGCTGGCTCTAATGCTTTAACTAGTAAGGCTTGCGCATCAGTCCCCCAAATTTGGGGGCCCCTATTATTTTAGAAATTATAGGTATATAATTATTTAAATAAAATAAATTTTAGATATTTTAGTATAAAAGTAGACTTTTTCTGTAACGACCTGGCCGGTCTGTCATGCCCCAACCTCGGGGAGCGCGACCGGCGCTCAACCAAGTGGACCCGGTCAACCAAGCCTGTTAGACACTTTCTACCTAACCCGCTTATGACCAATAGAAGGCACGTTTTCATTAGTTTAAATAGTAGAAGGATCATATATTTACAACATTACTAAATCATTTTATTTTACTACATAATTGTTAAGTTTTCAAAATACATACACTTTACAATCCAGTGGAACAAGAGTTCAAAACACATCATAATCCACTTGACCTTTCTAGTACCCATACACAACCCACATAAATATCTACGGAGCCTCTAAAGATACAAAAGACAGTTGTGATAACGCCGACAACAAGGCCCCAGCTATATCTCGAAACGTGGTAAACATATAAACAAAAAATATACTACATGACCCCAGGATGAAATGGGCTCACCAAGTCTGCTGGGATGATGATGATGATGATGATGATGATGTACCACTAGCTGTGATCAACACTGTCGGCCATGAAACCACCTACATCCATTTAAAGATGTAGCACCTCTGGCAGAAGAGACGTTAGTACTGTCGAATAGTACTAGTATGTAAAGCTAAAACACCATCTTAATAGAATGAACAATAAAACAAAGGGGACCAGGCATAATGTACAATAAGAGCTTCAAACAATACTAAAACATCAACTAAGGATCATATAAGTTCTCAAGTCAATTTTCGTCTTATTAGATTGGTAATCTTTAGTGCCATGTGCCACAATCCGCAATACCACCGTATTCTTACACAGTGTCTGATCTCGACCCGATCGGTTAGGTCATCTCATTTGAGTCATTACCCATATCCACAATTTCAATTATTATTTCCAGCACAATTACCACCACGTGTGTGCATAGCGTCCGGTCATGGCCCGATCAGCTAGGCCATCTCACTTGAGACATCATCCTTTCAATTAATCATCTCACTTTATATTTCTTTCCTATCTTTCAATACATTGGCACGGGTGACCTCATTTATTAAGTTATATTTGGCACTTGGCCGCTTTTCACAATTCAAGTTTTCCTTTTTACACATTCAATAACATTATCATCGGCAACGATAAGGCCTATCATATAAGGCATTTGTACACATAGAAAAAAAATTTGGAAAATCCTAAGCACATTGAGGCTTTCATACAAATAGGCATAACAACCTTTATTCGATTCTTGACATGAATTCTTAACCTTCCTCAACACATATTCCACATTTTAAACACATCCTCAAATGGCACGATGAAATGATAAACATTTTGAGTAAATATTGAACATGTATCTTTCAACACAACACATTAGGGCAATCAATTCTAGTATGATCAATTTGGGGACTTACACAACTACACGGACACCAGGGGTTTAGATTCTAAGAAGAATCGGGTTTAGCTATACATACCTCAATTTAGCCTCTTAAAACCTTAAAGATATTTCGGAATTAGCAACTTCAATCTATTTTATCAATATAGCAAAATTGAACCCAAAATTAGTATAACGATCGTAATTCTAGCTCACTTGAGCATTCTATCTAACACTTTGTGTGTATTAAGGTTTCATGGCTCTTTTTATGAAATACTATGCCAACCCACACCCCATTTTTTTCCATCTTTACTCACAACCTTCCCACATACCTTAAGAATACATGCATGCAAGGTAAGCACTCCAATCCCTATGAATTTCCTTTCTAGTGGCCCATTCTAATTGCATGTTGATATTAAGAATTTTGGTGATAGAATCTTACCTCATAGGAAGAAGACCTAGGTGCCTCTCTTGACAATCTTCAAGGTCTAAACAAGAATTGGAGAGTAACTTTGATGAAGAACACTTCCTCCCTCTAAGACTTCCTTTCTCGCTCTAAAAGTACCAGAAAATAGGCTAAAAATGAGGTATGACATGAGATATATCGACATAGGATCGAGTCTAAAAATTAGAAATTTGGAGCCCCAATTCGGATTTGCAGTCACACATGGCTATGCGGTTCGCGAGACGGCCGCGAAAAGGGCCCTCAAGGACTTCAATTTTCTGCCTCAGTCTGCGACCAATATGCGGTCCGCAGACCTGTTCTGCGGTCGCATAATGTTCCTCAGAACCTCCCTTCACAAAATTCCAAGGACGTTTATGCGACCAAAATGCGGCCCGCAAAGTAGTTATGCGGTCGCATAATTGGCCGTGAAACTGACCTCAAAATTGGCCAAAAAGACTCCCTCACTCTGCGGCCATTCTGCGGCCCGCAGAGTGATTATGCGGCCGCATAATGGGTCACAGAAATGCACACTTCTGCAAAATATTTTCCTTTAACTCTGTAGCGTACTGTTCAATCCAAAAAGTCCGAACACATAATCCTAACTTCGCCCACGAAATTTCGTATTTTAAGAAAAAATTTTACGGGGCCTTATACGGTCGTTTTGAGAGTATTAGCCCCGATCCCCTATTTACTACTTCCCTCGTATCATTTTATGCTTATGTGACTTGCCGGGAGGTTTTGTTTTTGGTTTTGGAGTGAATTGGGACACTTAGTCCCTAAAATGGATGCTTAAGTTCTAGGAATTTGATCGTAGTTGGAACTGTGGGAAGACGACTCCGGAATGGGGTTTCGTCGGTTCCGTTAGCTCCGTTGGGTGATTTTGAACTAGGAGCGTGTCCGAATTGTGATTTGGAGGTTCGTAGCTGAATTAGGCTTGAAATGGCGAAAGTTGAATTTTTGGGAAGTTTGACCTGGAGTGGACTTTTTGATATCGGGGTCGGATTCGGATTTCGGAAGTTGGAGTAGGTCTATAATGTCAAATGTGACTTGTGTGCAAATATGTGGTCAATCAGACGAGATTTGATATGTTTCGGCGTCGGTTGTAGATGTTTGAAGTTTCAAAGTTCATTAAGCTTGAGTTGGGGTGCGATTCGTGTTTTTGTTGTTTGATGTGATTTGAGGGCTCGACTAAGTTCGTATAGTGTTTTATGACTTGTTGGTATCTTTGGTTGAGGTCCCGGGTGTCGAGCCCCCTTTTTTCCCTCCCCGCGTCTGGAGAATCAGGTTTATGACATTTTTTGTGTATGGGACAACTCGTTCCTTTTGGGAACTAGGTTTTGCATTTTTGAAGAGTCGCCACCTAATGATTAATGGTGCATTAGGACACCTATAAGGTTCAACTACAACTATATTTTCTGATAACCAGAGATAGGGTAAGGGCTTGAAATTATCCTAAGGGGAAGGTGTTAGGCACCCCTCAGGATCCATTAGTGTGGTTCCGGCCAGACAATTCTTTGTGAGTTTGGTGCAATTGACATGTAAGCAGATAAGGCTCAAATAAGAGGGGATTTTAGTACACAAATGCTTGAAAGTAAACAAAGTTTGAAAGAGCAATTATCAAAAGGCTGATTTTTGAAAAGAAGTCATAATACTTTAAAGACAAAGAAAGAGAGGGGAAAGGGGGTCCTAAGTTTATTTATAATATGGATCACATCAATGCAATACCCGGTAATCACTCCTCAAAGAGGGGCTACATGTGGTATTAGCGCACCGGTCATCATATCCATATCTAACCTTCCTACCCCGTTAAGGTACCAAAGCGCGGAATGGTCTCGACCACTATTACATGCTAGTACCCGCCCCATTCCTATCAGTCCCAGAGGCACAAAGGACTACTGTTCCTAAAAGGGAGGGATATTAGGCTGACTTGGAGTTTCAAAGGTGAAAAATCTAAGGCGACATACAAAACATATAGTACATCACAATAACAGGGGAAGCACATAAACAATGAA